CCCGCCCCCTCACCGCTAGGCAAGCATTGAACAACTCGCTCTAGTTAGTGCACCCAGTGACATCGCCTGGGAAGGTGCTCTCTGGTCCCAGAGAATTCTTTCATACAAGCAGTTTCACTCACATCTTGTTTTTTGTGATGGTCAATTTAAGAGCACAGCATGCAGCTGAAATTTTGTTTCCTGCTCAGGAAAAATGCCATGGAAACTGCTGTGATGTTGAACACAGCTTACAAAGACAGTGCTTTGGGGGAAACTCAAGTGGCTTTCTTGTTTCATAAAACGTGAAATGTCGATTGATGAGAAACCTCGTTCTGGATGTCCATCAACTTCCCAAATGGATGGAAATGTCAACTCATAGTTTATTCCACCAGGTCAGACTGCTAATCAAGCTTTCTATTTAGAGGTTCTGAAAAGTTTGCATGACAGTGCCCAACAACAAAAAAGCCGGTGCACCAGGTTTGGGGCAAAAAAAACAGTGTGCCTCTCTTGCCACATGCACCTGACCTCACTCCTGCGACTTCTTTTTGTTTCTGTCAATGTAAAGGGACGTGAAAGGCCAGCTATTTGCTGACATGGAAGCGGTGAACAGAAAAACAAGGGAACTGCTGTCATCCACCCAAACAGATGAGCCTGAAAAACATCTCCAGAAGTGGAGCGCAGATTTGACACGTGTATTAAGGGTCCTGGAAAGTACTTTGGGGGTGCTGGGGTTGTTTTGTAAAAAAAAAAAAAAATTAAAACATAGCTTTGGGGGGAAAAATCCGTTTGGGGTTTGTTTGGGGTATTTTTGGTACTCCCTGGTATACCTACAGAAACACACAGTATGAAGTATAGAATCAGATACAAGCAAAGAGAAGGAGAGAAAGCAGTAGGGGAGGGGGCCATGGTCCTGAAGACTGAGCCAGGAAGCCTCTGGGCTGTGCCCTCTCCCCTGGGTGCTTGTTTGTGTCCCTGTTTGGGAATCTCTTGGAAGGAGGCCGCCTCCTGTTTTCCTTCCCCTGCCCTGGTGAGGAGGGTGGCTGTGCCCATGCCCCCTGCTGCGGCACCCTTCACCCCTCAGCCCCATTTCTTGTACTCCCTGGCTGCTCTGGTCCTCCCCTCTCGGGTTACCCAAAGTCCCCCTCCCGCAGTTTCCTGGTGCAAGAGGGCTAACAGGCCTCTAAACGCAGCAGCAGCATGTTAAACCGGAGACTGGCTGGGGCCGGCTGGGCACAGCCCACAGGGCCCGGCAGCTGCACCCCGGGCTTGGGTGGCGGTGTCACTTACCTCCTGCGCCCAGAAGGGAAGACCTGATGTGCAGACAACGGTTCACGTGCTCATGACTCTTCTGACGCTTGTAGATGAACTCGTACTCCTCCGTGCCCTGCTCCCGCGCGATGACGTACTTGTAGGGAATGGGCTTGTCCAGGCTCCGCTTGGAAATGAAGGTGCTGCCTTCAATGAGGCACCCGTGCTCGCCCAAGTCTCTGCACAGACAGGATACCCGGCGGTTACCACGGGAAGGCCCCTAGGAGCCGTGCTGCTCCACCGTCACCCCCAGAGAGGCGCCCAGGTGTAAGTGAGAACGCGCTTCCCAGGCTGCAGAGAACGGCGCACGGTAAAGCGCACCCCCGGGACGTCTGTTTTGAAACATTTCGATTTCCAGAAGACTGTAGAAGTTTATAATCCACTTATTGATAATAAAAAAAAAACCCATTCTCTAAATACACGCCGAGCGTCAGCGCTCAGGCCTGGCGTGGGGGCGGGGCACTTACTTGGAGAAGCTCATCTCACACACTCGCCGGCTCCACTTGGGCGCCCCCAGCTCCTCCCCGCCCCGGACGATCACTCGGTGCTGCTTGGAGTCGAAGGAGAAGTCCTTGGAGACAATGGCGTGGAAGTGTACCATGATGCCTTCACCAGGACCCAGCGTGCTGTGGGAGGGCCAAAGTGAGATGCCACTTAATCCCTCACTCTTCCTTCCACCGGACATGCGCGCACGTGCGAGCTCTCTCTCTCTCTCTCACTCACTCACTCACACACGTGCACACAGGCGCTCAGTCACAGGGACAGCTGTGCGCGCACACGGACACCAACCCATTGCCATCAACAAGTCTGTTGGGGCCGCGTCCACCCCGCGGGAGAGAGTAACAGGACACCCGGGGGAGCCTCAAGGCCTTTTGGAAACAGACCGCCAGGCCATCCTTCTGAGGCGCCTCTGGGTTTGTCTGAATCGCCAACACTCCGTGGAAGCGTGCAGTGCGCGTATCTGAACAGACACCCACACCTGCACACACGCCACGCTTCTGGCTGGGGTTTGAGTGTCTGGTGAGCCTTTAGAGGCAAACAACCAAAGGACCCCACGAGCAGCCGAGGTGCCCACCCAGGACCAGGGAGTGTGGCAAAAGGCACAAAAGCCCCTCTGCGCCAGCTCCTCGCTGCCCTGAGGATGTTCCCGGCCGGAATCCCCACAGCCCAAACCCACACGAGCAAGAGTCAGCAAGCACCCCTGCACCAGCTGCGGGACCTCATCACCCCCCACGAATGGGTGGCTTGCCCCTGGCTCCCAGGGCCACTGTCCCCGGCTGCCCCAACCCCCCCTGGGGATACACCCACCGCTCCACCTCCTGCGCATGCGCTTTCTGGTTGCGCTGCTCCTTGTCGGTCTTGGCCCGCGCAGGGTCATCTCTGCGACCTCCTGCTGGTTTCTCCTGGTCTTCTGCCGGGGTTTTCCCACCTTCGCCTGCTTTCCTTCCGGACACGGCCTTCCTGTCCTTGGACTCTGCTTCCTGGAACCCAGAGCCAGACCCCAGTCGTACCAGCAGCTGCACAACCCCATCGTCTCCCTGCCCAGACCCATCGTGGCTGTCGGTCTACTCCCCAAGGCCCTGACCCCAGCAGCCGTCACTGCCCACCTCAGCACCCACATGGGGCACCAGCTGCCCAGCTGCTCCTGAACAATGCAGCCACACGCCACCCAACCATAGGGCACCGCAGGGCCTTTGCACCAGCTGTCCCCTCTGCCTGCAACACCCTCACCTTCTCAGGCCTGCGCTCCACCACCACCAACCACCTCCTGCTGGGAGAGGCCTGCCCCACAGCTGGCTGCTACAAGGGCACCTTCCCTCTCTCACCCCTCCCCCTCACCACAGGGACACCAGGGCCGGGCCTTCCCCAGAACCAACACCCATCCAGCTGGGCAGGGACCGACGCTGACCTGGCCTTGTTCCTTGGACGCAGGGACACTGGCTGGCAGCGCCTTGTCCTTACTGTCCCTGCCGCCCTCCCCCGTTCCTCCACAGGCTGGTTTCTCTGCCGCACCCACAGCCTAGAAGAAACAAAGACCCCAAACCTCAGAGGCAGGGACCGGGAGACTGAGTCGGGGCTCAGGGTCAGCTCCCATCACAGCCCCTGCCGTGGGTGGAGAGGCTGTCCGCTGGCCCTCCTGGCACCGCCCACCACCCGCTCCAAGTGCAGGGAAGCCTGTGTGAGGGAGAGCCCCCCACACACACCGAGCACACCAGCCACTGGCCACTGATTTACCCCGGAGCTCACCTCCGAGGCCGGGGTCTCTGCCTGCTCCCTGGCGGCCTGGGCTCCTTCCCTGGGCTCAGAGTCGGCTCCTTTTGACTCCGGCAATGGTTGTGTCTGGGTAGCGCCGTGATCCACGGGACTGGCCCCAGGGGCAGCTTCGGGAAGGCCAGCCACCCCCTGCGAGGGGCTGGAGGGTTCCTGAGGCCCAGTGCTCATCTGGGCCTCTGCTCTGGGCGCCGCTTCTGCTCCTCCATCCAGAGGGCAGCTGCTGGCCTTGGCCACGTCCCCAAGGGGCCCTGTGGGGCCCTCACCCTCCATCTGTGTCTCGCTCAGGCTCACATCCTGATTCCCGGCCCCTGGGCTGGGTGGGCTCTGGTCACACCTGGCTGCAGGGCTGTCGACGGGGGACTGGCTAGGCTGGCTGCTCACACCGCCTTGCTGACCGTGGCCTTCAGGGAGTGCCAGAGAGCCCAGGCTACTTGGGGCCGAGGGAGACTGGGGCAATGAGGTCAGCTCATCAGACGTAGATGCCCTCTGAGTCTTCTTCCTCCTCTTCCTCTTCCTCTTGCTCTATACCAAAAAAGAAACACACACTTGGTGTCTTGGACTGACTGCTCCACCCACCTACCCCCACCCCCCCCCCAAACCCACCCCCCGCCTCACCGCTCTCCACGGCTCAAGGGTGAGCAGCTCTGTCAGCCCCCCGCCCCCCCCCCCATCCTCACGCCTGTTCGCTCAGGGAGCCCTTGCTCTCAGGCAGTGGACCGGGCACGGGGCCGGGCAGCAGCTGCCACACCCTGGGCTGTGCCCCAGCTGGCCCCAACACTGAGTTATCCCCGGTGGAACAGTCCACCAAAACCAGCCCAACTGAGCTTTCCTGTGGCACACTGATGTACGGGGGTGGGTGGGTGGGCTTCAAAAAGTGGGTGGGAAAATGGAGCTGAAAGATAGTGGCATTTTTCCCATACCCTGGAAGTTACACACACACACACACACACGTGGATGTTTGGAATCGAGCTTTCGACTCCCATAAGAGTTACCACCTTGGAAGCCCACAGGGGCAGTTCCACCCTGTCTTATAGGGTCGGCATGAGTCAGAAGCCACTCGGTGGCAGGGAGAGGGGACAAGCTTCGCCCGTGAGGGGACGCAAGTAAGTGCCTGATCCAGAAGACGTCTCTCCTTCTTAGGGTCTGAGACCAGGAGTCCAGCACTGTCCGACGTCTCCCTTCTTTTCTGGTGTCCATCCCCCGGGGAGGAGGCTATGTGTAGATCCTTGCAATCAGTTCCCCCTTTCCACCCACCCTCCTTCCACCCTCCCAGTATGGCCACTCTCAGCACTGGTCCTGAAGGGATCGTCATCCTGGATTCCCTGTGTTTCCAGTTCCTATCTGTACCAGTGTACATCCTCTGGTCTAGTCAGATCGGTAGAATTGGGATCAAGATAATGGTGGGGGGGTGTATGTGAAGGCAGCATTTAGGAACTAGAGGAAAGTTGTATGTTTCACTGTTGTATGCTACAATGCAGCCTGACTGGCTCGTCTCCTCCCCGTGGCCCTTCTGTAAGGGGATGTCCAGTGGCCTGTTTGGGACCTGAAGCGACATCTGGAAGACTCATGGACCAAGGGTGGTAAGTTGTATGAATGCTGCAGTTGACCTTGGCAAAAAGTAGAGACATGGGAAATCCTGTAGCTACAGAGAAACAATATAGTGAAGTTTTAAAAGTTATATTCAAGACAACTGGGGTAGAAGTCCATCGCAGACTTTTAAGAAACTTATTGCTTGTGTACATAAGCATTGTTATTGGTTTCACCCTGCAAACAAGAATCAATGAAATGCCAAAGTATGGAAACAGGTGACTCGTGCTTTGCGAAGGGCACATCCATTGATCCACCTTATGTGAAACCATTGATCATGATGTTTGGGCATTAATATCTTTAGTTAATATTGCTTTAGAACCATTTCCTTCGGCTACTGAAAGTGAGAGAGAAAAAGCTGCTTGTGAAAATGTTACGGGAGCTGTGGAGACGGACCCATCTAGTAATCCCATCGATGACAAAGTTTACGGTCGTCCTGAAGCGGAATCTTCTCCTGCCTCAGTCCTCCTCTGAAGAGGAGGATACGTTTCCCATACCTGAGGAATTAAAGTATCTGGTTTGTCAAGTAAATGAAATAGCCGAACGTCTTCAGTTAGATTCTGGAAAGACCGTTGTAGAACTGACAGTCCCTTATTTTGAAGAAAAGCCTCCAGCATGTCCCGAAGAGACTAAGGCTATGCCTCGAATTCCAGCTGCGAGATTGAAGTTATCGTGTGAGTCAAATGAGACTTCTTTACCCGCTCCCATCTCTCCGGCTGCTCTTTTCCCTGGTACTGGAACTCAGACGGCTGCTAATGCTCAACATCCCAATGGACGGGTGCAGTGTGATCTTGAAGGGCAGGAGTGTAGGACTTTGAAAGCTTTAACGGAAGCTGTCCACTCTTATGGGGTACAGCCACCTTATGTTCAGGGGCTCTTACACCCTTCTGTTACTGACAATATTACGATTCCCTCCGACTGGGATACTTTACTCAAAACAGTGCTAACCTCTGGCCAGTCGATCCAGTTGAAAGCTTGTTGGCGTGAGGAAGCTGCGAAAGAGGCGCAGGTTGATAATCCTAGGCAGCAGTCACCAGGACCTACTTTCGAACAACTAACCGGAGCTGGTCCTTTTGCTGCAACTGCTCAGCCAGCCATCTTCGGGGATGAGATTATTGAACAAGTTCACGATCTATGCTTATGTGCTTGGCAACAATTAGATGAAAAGGGAGGAACAGAAAAAAATATGTACGAAAATTTTACAAGGACCTAATGAATCTTTTCCTGATGTTTTATCCCATCTTTTTACTGCTATAAAACGTGCTGTGGCTTCCCCTGCGTTGCAAGAGGTACTTTGGCACCCCTTAGCCTTTGAGAACGCTAACGCCGATGGTAGAGAAGCCATGCAAACCTTTCAGGTTGGCGGGGGAAGTTTAGAGGATTATGTTGGGGCTTGTGGGGATATTGGTACAGCAGAATGTCATGCCAGTCTGATCTATTACATGTGACTCCTGAGAGTGCTGCTTTAGGTCTCAGCATTCCTCGTGATTTGTTATCAGAATCTTCTCAAGGAGTTGTTAAGCTCCCTCTCCATCTTTTTGGACCTATCCCTGCTAATACTGTGGGTCTCATTTTAGGTCAGAGCCGTCTAAATTCTCAGGGAGTGCTAGTTCATCCCGGAGTGATTGATTCAGATGATATTGGAGAGATTTCTGTAATGATGTCCACTTCTACATGTATTCCGCTTTCAAAAGGTCAAAGAATTGCTCAATTATTACTGTTACCTTCTCATAAAGGAAAGGCTGCTTCTGTCGAGAGAAAGGAGGGTTTGGCAGCACCGGAACACATGCATTTAGGCAAACATTTATTGGAGATACCAGGCCTCACATGGTGGTGTTCTTTGAAAATGGAATTCAAATTCCTGGTCTCGTCGACACAGGTGCTGATGTGTCTGTCGTTGCAGCTCACAACTGGCCGTCGGAGTGGCCTTTTCACTCTGCTCACACTCCTTGCACTGGGATTGGAACGAAGACTAACATTCAACAAAGCATTTCTATTCAAAAATGCCACGGTCCAGAAGGACAGAGAGCGAAATCACAACCTGATAGAGCTGACATTCCCTTAATTTTGTGGGGCAGAGATTTATTACAACAATGGGGCTTCTGTTTCTATTCCCACCATTTCTCCTGTGGCTAAACAACTGATGATAAATATGGGGTCTGATTTTAAACCAAAAGGGAACACCCAGAGTTTGTAACTCATCAGGGACGAGCAAGAAGGGGATGAGGTTTTCCAGATCTAGAGGCAAATGTAGAATAATGGGCCTTTGCCAAGAGAAAAACTGGAAGCATTACAATTTTTAGTTCAGGAACAACTAGATCTAGGACAGACTGAGCCTAGTACTGCCCCTGGAATTCACCTGTCTTTGTAATACAAAAGAAATCAAGAAAGTGGAGAATGTTGATGGACCTACGAAAAATAAATGAGGTTACAATCCCCATGGGTCCCTTACAACTTGGTGTTCCATCTCCTGTTATGATACCTAAAGATTGGAATTTGATTATAATAGATTTAAAAGATTGTTTTTTGACGATCCCTTTACAGCCTCAGGATTGTGTCAGATTTGCATTTACTGTCCCGACTTATAATAACAGTCAACCAGTGCTGCGCTATCAATGGAAGGTTTTGCCTCAGGAATGTTAAACAGCCCTACTTTGTGCCAAGCTTTTGTTCTTCAACCTTTACAGATGATTTGGGACAAGTTTCCGAGTAGTTTATATCATCATTATTTGGATTACATTTTATTTGCTCATCCAGATCCTCAAATGTTAACAGAACGTCTTGAATTTGCGCTAATAATTTTAAGAGATTATGGTTTACAAACAGTTGAGGAGGAAATCCAAAAAGAATATCCATTTAATTATTTTGGGCAAAAGATTGTTAATCAAAAAATTATAACTCAGAAAGTACAAATTCGTCAGGATTCTTTAAAAACAATGATTTTCAAAAAATATTAGGGGATATAAATTGGCTACGCCCATCTTTAGGCATTCCTACTGGACAACTTTCTAAGTTATTTCAAATATTGGAAGGAGATTCAGATCTTAACAGTCCTAGAACTTTAAATCTTGAGGCTGAGAAAGAATTACAATGGATTGAGAAGCATATTCAAGATAGTCTATTACAGCGCATAGATTCCTTAGATAATCTTCAGTTAATTGTTATACATACTACTCATTCTCCAACAGGAGTCCTTATGCAAAACAATAATTTGTTAGAATGGTTATTTTTAATCTAATAAAAGTATGCATAAATTGGAAACGTATTTGCAGAAAATATGTCAAATTATTATTAAAGGATGTATGCGTTTACGCCATTTATGTGGACTGGATCCTGCAATCATAATAGTACCCTTCACCGATACAGAAACTCGTGATCATTGGATTTTATCAGAAGATTGGCAAAATGCCATTAGCAATGACGTGGGTATCATTTCTAATCCATATCCCTCTGATCCACGTTTTCAATTTTTGAAAAGAACTGAATGGATGTTGCCAAACGTGGTTGTTTCTGCCCCCATTCCTCAAGCACTTATGTTTTTTACAGGTGCAAATAAGCATGGTATTGCTGGATATGTAAATATTCACAACGATATTTCTAAAGTTATAGCATCTCCTTATTCTCCTGTTCAAAAGACTGAATTATTTGCTATTTTAACTTTACTTGTAGATATGCTTCATTCACTTCAATAATTACTGATTCACAATATGCTATGTATACTCTTTTACATATTGAAACCGCTACCATTATTGTTAATAAAACTGAATTGAATGATTTAATTTGTAAGTTACAGCAGGCAGTTCATCAAAGAACGAATCCTATTTTTATTACTCACATTAGATCTCATACATCCTACCTGGTCCTTTGGTTATGGGGAATGATAGGGTGGATTGCCCTGTGGGATCCTTGCAAATTGCTCAAAATGAACATGCCAGGTATCGCAGCAATGCACGATCGTTAAAAACCAGGCATGGGCTGACTGGGCAACGCGCAAAGGCTGTTTGACGATCTTGCTCAGCTTGTCAGCTCAGCCCTCATCTCCCTTCAGGAACTACTCCTCGAGGCACCACCTGAAATCCAATTTGGCAAATGGATGTTACTCAAATTCCTTCTTTTGGCAAACTCAAATCTGCTCATCGTTCTGTTGATCTTTGTCTCCTTTTCCATGGGCTCCTCCTGCTGCTGCAGCACGGGCGGATGCTGTCCTTACTCATTTGTTGGAAGCATTTGCTGTCCTGGGAATTCCACACACCATTGAAACAGAGCACGGTTCTGCTTATGTTTCTAAAAATGTTTGGCCTTTCTCCATGACCGTGGAATTCAGCATTTGACTGGTATTCCAGGAAATAGTATTTCCTGGCCAAACTATTATTGAACACGAAAGTCGGACTTTGAAAGAGTTGCTTTTGAAACAAAAAGGAGGCTATGGGGCTAGTCATCCCAGAAGGCGGCATTAAACAGCTTTATATACGTTAAATTATCTAAATGTAAATAACAATAATTTCACGGCTGCTGAATTACATTGGGAAAAATAGTGTGTCTAATGAACAGCCTAATAGTGTGTCTAAAGATATAGAACAGCCTATGTGGTATAAGAGTTTTGAACAAGACAGATGGCAACCAGCCACGGTCATAAAATGGGGAAGGGGGTATGCTTATATTTCAACAGGAGAAAAGAAATGGGGGTTTCCAGACAAGCGAATAAAATTGCGTGATGGCCCAGAAGAGACCTTGCCCTTGGAGAGAACTGAGCCGGGACTTTGCTGCCAGGAGCTCCCTGGATGACGACTCGACGTGTTGACTTGCCGACGTGGGCACAGACGGAGAAGTTAGGGGTGGAGGAGAACAACTGGTGCGTTCCCATGGACAAGGGATGACAACGTCTCATTTGTTGTTAGCTGGATGGCTATTTTGACTACTCAGGTGAATGCTGAGAATCTTACTTACCGGACCTCTATTCCTGACCCTCCCTTGAATGGAGAAGTCTCTTGGACAGACCCTACCGTTCCCATTTATGTTAATGAATCCTCTTGGATGCCGGGGCCTTTGGAAGATCGAGGACCATTTCGAGCAAGCAAAGAAGGCACCATTATGAAAATGGGGGTTGAAGGACTTCCTATATGTATTGGACATGGAGAATATTGTTTAAAATTAAAATATCAGGCCTGGATGTCTATCATCAAAAATTCAGGAGATAAGAATAAGCTGCAAAAATTACTAATTTTTCTCGGGGAGGAGATGAGCCAGTCAGGGTGCGATGTAACAACAATGAGAAATACAACTTTCCTCTAGTTCCTAAACGTTTCCTCCCCGTTCCCACTACCATGACTCGAATTCGACCTTGCAAGTCTGGCTAGACCAGAGGA